CATTGATGATTAGCTCCAGGAGACAGTCTCTGTGTCATCTGTGAACAAGTATGCCAAGGGAATGCTTCCTCATTATAGTGCAATAGATTTGGCGCTGCCAGGTTCAGAAAATGCGTGTTGCTGATGTCAGTGTCCTGGCGCCGTGCTGTGTTTGTGGAGAATCGATACAGTATATTGTCAAGTGTGTCGTGTTTGTCGCAGACAGTGTCGGCTCATCAGGAGGCGCAGGGGGTGCGCTATTCAGAGCCACTGTCTCGTCAGTGTCAGTGTCATGGCTAGCTGGCAAGATCTTCCGCAGAAAGACCTTATGAAACTTTGCAAGGAGGCTTTTGACGACATGAAACAGCGTCGGGAAGAGGAGGAGAAGAGTCTCACCTTGCAGTTGGAGGAGGACTGTGAGAAGAAGCGTCAGCAACAGCAGCAGAAGAGTCGGCCACGTGCCAAGACCGCGGCCAAAAGCAAGACCTCTGCTCCGGCGACATCAGAGTCAGAAATGGCTGTTGCTCCTTTTCCTGCCCCTGTTTGTGAAAACACAGAGTCACGAGGCAGAAAGAACCCGAGTACCAAGGGCCAGAGTCAGAAACTGGCTGCCAGCCAAAATTCAGAGCCTCGTCAGAAGAGAGCTAGGGTCAAGAAAGACAAGCCAGACAGCGAGCTTACCGGGGCTTTAGTCCCAGCTGCTCCAAAGCAGCCGCAGAGGGTCAAGGAAGAGCCTGGTAATTCTGTCGTCCTAGTGGAGACACCCAAACCTGAGAAGAAAAGAGGAAGGCATGCACCAGGGTCACGGCCAATGGCGTACAAGAAGCGGAACCACGCCTTGGTTTATTGCTGAATGTTTGCTTGTACGTCAGTGTTTGCTTAACTAGACAATCCCCTGTTCAGCTTGCAGCTCAGGAAAGAGTACAAGAGCGTCAAGGCGTATGAGAACATGAGAAACTTCCTGGACGTGCTGCAGCTGGTTTCATCATGTTGCATCATGAATTAGCATTAATTGGACAGTTTTCATGTCCATCATAGCTGACTGAGGATTTCCTCCGCAAGATTTTGCTGACCAAGAAGCACACAAAGCAAAGCGACAGCGTCAGCATTGGGGCTAAGTCAGCACCGTTTTGAAACGGTGCTGCTGTTATTCATTTATGTCTGACTTGACACAGCCGCCAATAGAGCGTCAACTGCTCAGCATGGGGTTGCGTGGTGAAAAACAGGCTTTTCAGCTTCACGATTGAATGTTGCATTGGCTGTTGCTCCTTCCATTACTAATAAATTATACCATTTGCTCACCTGCCAGGATTCCTGCATCATCCAAAGGCAGAGAACAAGCTGCGCCCTCAGTTTGTGTTGAGAGATTGCACAGGGGACAGGGCCAAGGGGGTGGGGTGGTGGGGTGGGGTGGTGGCAGGGTGGGGGGTGTGGGGATGGGTGCACCAGGGGCTGGGGGGTTGGGAGGGGAGCGTGGGGGGTTCGTAGGGGGGTTCGTGGGGGGTTCGTGGGGTTCGTGGGGGTTCGCGGCGTTGGCGGTGTGGGGGCTTCGTAGGGGTTCGCGGGGGTTCGCGGCCCGAGGTTTGGGGGCAGAATTCTGGGGGACAGGTCCGGCCTTCCTCTTTCAAAAGGAGAGCCAGGGTTCGCAGAAGGTTCGTGGGGTTCGCGGCGGGGTTCGCGGAACCCCTCCTGTACTCCTCCCTGCTCCCAGTTTTGGGCCCCCTTCGTGGCCCTTCGTGGCCCTTCCTTCGTGGCCCTCTCCCTCTCCACCCCCCCACCCCCGCACCCCCCACACCCACACCTTTGCACTCCGTCCCCCACCCCCCCCTCCCCCCCTCCCCCCACACACCCCCCATCCCCATGTTTGCTGACCAGCTGCGTGAGTGTCAACAACTTGTGATGCAGGCCATGATTGAAGTGTTTTCCAGGAAGTGCCGGTGTCAGTCACATCGAAGTCACCAGTGTCAGGTAGGTCTCTGCAGAGTCAGATATTGAATGGTCATTGACGGATTAAGGTGCAGCAGAGTCAGCATCTGAAGAACAAGAACCAGCGTGTGCAGCCCAGCTTTCGTTCAGCAGGGGATGGAGCTAGTTCCTTCCGAACAAAGGTTTAGGGTCCAGGTATACGTTTAGGCAGACTTTGTCCTGGTCACATGTTTCAGCCCATTTGGCTTCTGCTGCAGGTCCTGGCAACAACAGCATACGTGGCGCCAGGGTCAGGTGCCACTGCATCAGGGCACTTATTATTTGTGTTTGTTGGGAGCAAGGGCAAGTGTCAGGCGTCGTAGCTCATGAATACAGAACGGCGTGTGTCAGTTCAGGATTCATTTCTGCAGATCTCTATGTGTCAGTTGATTGTCTGCGGCAGGGAGGGATTAGAATAATTATGCACTTGTTTGGAAGTTGGGTATGATTTGATTTCAGTCGCCACAGCTTGCAGTGTGGGATTCATATTATGCAGGCAAGAGGCAAGAGTGTCAATCCTGCGATCTAAGATAGGTCAGTGCGTGCCTGTTGGGTACATGGTTTTGCTCAGCTTTTGGCTTGTCAAGCATCAAAGAGTCGCCAATGCCATTGGTTGCAGACCGAATTAATTATTCGCCCTGAAGAAAAGACACTTTTCGGCTTTTCAGTGTCAGTGTGTGGGAATTCCTGTACTTACTTGCAAGGGGTAGGATCACATCGCAGAGTCTAGGTTTTGACCTCTGCGCGTTTTAGCGTCAAGATGGAAAGGCCTCCAGATCCGCGCTTTTCACGTGACTTGTGCGAAAGTCTGAAGCACAATGATGACCACTTGCAGTTTACCAGTGGCCATGGCAGAGCCAGGCTGGAGAATGTGTTGACTGGGGAGTGTCACTGGCTTCAGGCGGCAGACAGCAGCTTCCACATCAGTGCTTCTGGGTGGGGCTATATTGTCAGCACCAACCAAGAGGGTCAGAGGGTCACCCAGTGGGCCAGCGAATTGTTGTCTTGGTCTGTGTGGAGAGTCAAGGATAGTGGGCGACTTTTTGCTTACAGGAAGGCAGCGGATGGTGTGCAGACAAGATGGATCAGTAGCTTTGCCGAAGACCGCAACATGTGTTATCCACCAGAGGGTCACGAGGTCCCACAGCTTGAAATACATGATAAGCATTGAGTTGAGCTAGATTGTTTATATTGGTCAGCGTTTTTTATTCGAAAAGAAAGCAAAGGATTGCTAAGCTAATCTCCCTTTACCAGGTGCTACGCAGCATCTTTGAGGGGAAGAAGCTCTTCCTCGTGAAGTACAATGTTCCTCTTCAGGGCCAGCGGTATTTCTGGAATTTGCATAGCCTCCACCCATCAAAGTCACATCAGGATGTCCTGAAGACTGCAAAACGGTCATGGCTGCAGATGTGTCAACACATATTCACAGATGTCAGCAAGTCTTTCTTGTGGCCTCAGCGATCCAAAGAGGGTCAAGCAGATGTTCAGCACAGCATGCACGAGGTCTGTGGCAATACGAGCGTCATGCTTCTCATCGCTCTGACATTAGCCACATCTGGCAAGAAGAACAGAGTCACAGGTCAGCAGTGGCTGCAGAGGATTGTGGACCAGTTTGCGTCAAATGGCATGTTGAGAGTCAAGCTGCCAACTGAAGGTGAACCCATCGTGGACGTGAGACTGCGCAATGGACAAGTGTCACTGGCAGAGGTTGCAGCGTCACTCAGTGGGCGCAAGTCCAACACGAGAGGGCTGCGACTGAGAAGTGAGCAAAGTGTCACGACGTTCCTTGCAGCCATCCGGTTGAAGTCAGAGTGGGCCTGGCTTCTGAAGAGTCTGTTGCTACAGCTGGCACTGCTGGTGGAACGGAATCTGGAAAGTGTCACCTTTGGTGAAGCTGAGGTGTCGATGGCTTATGGCTTTCACAGGGATCCCGTGCAGAGAGTCCTGAATGTTCGAATTGCCCAGCAGAAGGCGTGGCGCAGCAAGCGTAAGAAGCGAGACCAGAAGGCCAAACAGGCAGAGCGTCAGCCTGGCTTGAGCAAAGCAGCACGTGCAAAGGCGCGAGCTCGTGTAGCGTCAGTGCGTGAGATGGTCACCAGGAGAGACAAGCAGCGGGAACGGAGTCTTTACTTCCAGGAGTGTCAAGATCAGTTCCGCAATGCAAGGCAACTTTCTGTATCTTTCGATGCAAGCAGGGTCGGTGGCCGCAAGCTGACCAGCTTTGCCGTGGTGAACTTGCAGTCTGGATTGTCAGCATGGGCACCTTCCCAGGCCACGGCTTCAGAGTCAGAGAGTAAGGGGGTGCATCAAGTCCATTGTAACAGGGGATTGCACTTGCTAGCAGTCTTATCTTAGTCTTCCCTCCACACAATTCAATAATTCAGAAGGCAGTCAGACTTTGGACTTGCACGATTGCACAATTTTAGTAGGGATCATTGGTTGGGTATGGTATGCTTCACTGCCTAGCGTACAGTCAGAGGGTCGCTGGGGGAGCAGGAGGAAGAGGGTTGAGGAGGACTGAGGAGGACAGGAAGAGAGGGAGAGGGACAGGGAGAGCGAGAGGGAGGAGCGCAGAAACGGACTTGGCAACAGAGCCCCGGGAGAGAGAGAGAGAGACAGACAGACAGACAGAGACAGAGACAGAGCCATGGTGATGCCATCCCAAAATCAAATGCTACATCTGTAAGTCTTAGTCGTAAACCATAGCAAACAGAGCCAGGCAGTAGAAATGAAATTTCGACAGCAGAGACGCATAAATAAAGAACAAAGGAACAACAGTTTATTTATTATTATGCTTGACCTAAGCTGAAGTTTGAACAGGGGGGAACATGCAGCAAATGAACCGCCTTTCTGCAGGTGCACCAGGACTCAGCACACCGAGTGCCAGGAACAGAGCCAGCTCCCAATGAAGCAGCACTCCTGGACAAGGAGGTTGCTGACTTGCTCTGCAACCTGGATGGATTTCTTGCAGCAAGCCCTGTTATTTGATTAATTTTAGTGATCTGACATTTAAATTTATTAAAATCTGAGCACAATGCCTCAATGCATGCAACACCTGCTTACTGCAACCTTGGCATACCAATCGTCACTCCAATAGCGTCAGAAGCAGCAATCGACATATATAGTTTGCATAATTTGGGTCTTCAGATACTTGGTAATTATTGCAGCAAGCAAGCGTCATGTCAGCAGCAAGGCACAGAGGCGCAGCGTCACACTGAAGACAACGAAAAGGAGGTCCTCAAGCGAACGGTTTTAAAGCCTGAGAGGGTCAGCACCTATGACCTGATGCTATCACTTGACCACGTGATCCGTTTGGTGCACAACCCAAAGGGTCTGGTTGGGTTTCAGTATGATGAGGAGGACGCAGAGTCAGCACCCAGGCCAGATTTCATCACAGCTAAAACCCTGGTGCTAGCGTCAGACAACGGCAGTGACGCCAATGCAATGAAGTGGTTTTTGAGTCACCATCTGAAGCTGCGGGTTCTCAATCTTTACGACCCACGCCACAAGTGTCAAAGGATTCTTGTCAACTCCATGAACCACTGTGGTTACCAGTCAGCGTCAGGCTACGCAAGAATTCTGATATCGTGGACCAGAGGGCCATGGGATAACAGAAAGTGGTTCCGTGTGGTTGCTGAAGAGTCAGCAGAGTTTCTCAAGATGGTCGGTCCTGCCCACGAGCACAGCGCCGGTGTCAGTGTCATTAAGTACATGCTGCCCAGAATCGCTGCTGAAAGAGGTTTGGTGGAGCACGAGGTCAGTGTCAAGGACGCTGTGACCTGGCTCAAGGAGGCCAAGTTTTACAAAGAGCAAGCAGCGTCAGGGGAACCAAGTCGATGGGACGAGTTCCACGCTACCTGGCGTTGCTTGCGTCATGAGATTGGGCTCTTGACCGTGGTGCTAGTGTCATATGGGCTCAAAAATGGTTTGATCCAGATGAATGGTGCCCATCCCGCAGTGTCAGAATCACTCGTGAAGGCCGCTGAACAAGCAGGTGTCAGCGAGAACCTCAAGGCGGGGCAGAAGGAGCGCAGAGTCATTTACTCGAAGTTCAAGAACAAGCTCCAAGCAGTGTTATACCTCCTGCTGGACAACGACCTCTTAGCGTCAATCAACTCTTGGTTTACAGTGTCAAACCCAGTGTCACTGTACTTGAATGACATGAGGAGAGACGTTCGTGGCAGGCAAGGGTCATGGGAGTTCTGGCAGCGACAAGCTGAGGGTCAATGGCGTGGCACCTTGAACAAGATAGTGTCAGCTGCTTTGGACCAGCAGAGTCATGCGCTCATAGGCATCGCCGACACCAATGAGATTCAAGGGTCAATGTATTTTTATACATTGACAACAGACAGCGCCAGTGTCCAGTTCCAAGACTGGTTGTTTCAAAGGCTGGTGAGCTATGCATTGAGTGTCATGAGGTACATGTGCATCTATGAGTGCCAAAGCTAGCAATAGAAGCGTTTTGTAGATAGTGTCATTTATTATAAACAAATGTGTTGGAAGTGTCAGATTCGATATTGCCCTTGGCAGGATGTCAAACGAAGTTTTCCCTCTACGGCTTGCTGCGGCGTGTGCAGGGTCACAGCAGGCGGCAAAAGTTCGGGCTGAACTGAAGAAGTTCTTGGATGCAGACAAACTCGCGCAAAGTGTCAACACACCATGGTGCAAAACAGTGACAAAGAGAAATGCTGCGCGTCACATCCTCGTGCAGGACATTGCCAGGCTGGAAGTGTCAGACGACGTGATGGTCACTATGATGCGCGAGCTGTTTAGTGGCTTGGTCTTCACGTTCAATGAAGAAGGCTTCTCGACCCTGCGTCAGAGTGAACTTCGGTCAGCAGTTCTGGATTGAGTTACTTATTATTATTATATGAATAAACAGTAAACCTCGTAAACCCAATAAACCCTAAATCCTAAAGTTTGGGCTTTAACCCTACAACCCTTGTCCCAAACACGTGGTGATCGCTATTTCATTTCAGCAGTCATTTAAATTTAGCAGGTATGTGTTCTTATTAATGAATTTAAGCAAGCACTGTTGGGTTCCAAGATTAAAGGGTCAGTTCGAAATAAAACAAACAGTGAGTAATTTGATCCTTGATCAGCTTCTTGTCTAAACCCAGAGTCAAGGAAAGCCATGAGAACAAAGCCCACGAGTACTGTGTCAGCGATTCCTGGTCGCAGCTGTGCAATGCTAGCATCTTGCAGAGGTTTGGGTACACAGAGATTTCGCCAGATGCTGCAAGAGCCAGTGTCAACCCACTGCCTGCCAGCATACATCACACGAAGCGTCTCCAAGCGTCATCACCGCAGATGAAGGACGTCATGAAGAGTCAGACGTGGCCTTCCGTGTCCCCGCTCTACGCAGCGTCACTTGTGCCTGAGCAGATGCTTCTGGTTGAGGGCAGCGTCAAGGGCCCAGAGTCACTCAAGAAGTTGATGAACAGTTGGCGAACTGCGTTCTTAGTGTCAGGCCTGGTGATCAAGCAGAAGGGTGATGCGTCAATCTACTTGTCACTGGGACCCTGGCCAAACAACAGTGCCACTTGCGTTATCCCTTTGGAACGCGTCGAGCTTGAGGGTCACAAACTGTATTTTTACAGGCTGCCAAGCAGAATCCAGTGTCAGTTCAAATGTGTTTCTTCTTTTGCTGACTGGAGTGTCTTGGATACAGTCCTGGCAAGCCCATTGCGGGTGGCACTGATGATGGGGCAGAAGTCAAAAGTCAAGAGTCACGCAGACCTGCGAGTGCCAGATCTTCCTGGTTTTTTCTGGGAGAAGAGCAAGACTACAGTGCCATTGCTCCAGTACTCTGCCAGGGAGGGCTTCCACACAGTGTCAGTCAGCTTGATGAAGCGCTTGCTGAAGGAGCCTGGTGTTGGATGAGTCCAGCCAAGGGTCAGGGTGTGATTGGGGTGAAGGTCCAGTGATGTAGTGTCTTGCGTTCCTGCCACAGTTGTGCAGTAGGAGTTTGGGCATTTGGGGATTGAAACTAATAAGTACATAGCAAGTCAGAGGCTGCTGCTAGCAATCCATGATTTCAGTTCCGTCAGTGCCATTACATTACAATCTCTTAAGCCCATTGCCTATCTTACACAAGAGCGGTCGAAATAAAATCATCCTTTGATAACTGAAACAGTCAGTTAGCAATACGGCCAGGACGAGTTCGGTATCATGCTTCCGAACGAAGACGACCTGGGAACAGTTTTGCACACTGCAGTGTCAGCTGCCCTGGGCAAAAAGGCAACTGAAGAGGAAGTGTTGGAGTCCATGGAGCGGTCTTTGGAGTGGCGCGCTGGAGACACAGCAGCTGAAGACTACATGGCCCTGTGTCAGAGTGGTGCGCTGGATGAAATGGTAGGGACAGATCGCGATGACGAGATCGATGAGGATGCTGCGGAACAACAAGAGAGAGTCCATGCAAGGGTCAAAGTGGCGAAGTCCATCACTTCAAAGGTCCGAAAAATTCGCAAGAAGACACATGGCAAAGCGTCTGAGTCAACCTCTGGCAGAAGAAAGCCCATCTCATTCGAATCCTCAGAGTCATGGACAGCTGAAAGGGTCACAAAGTACCTGCCGCATCCCAAGTTTGGTTACAGAGCCATGAAAGACTACTTCAACAAATGCTTCAGAGTCATAGCATCGCGTCAGCGCTGGAGTGCCAGCAAAAGCTGGGGGGCTACAGGTCGGGACAGTGTCGCTGTGAAGATTCTCCTTGAAAGGACCTGGGAGCGTCATTGCTCCCTTCACCCTGAAGAGACCTGCTCCTGGTCCTTTGGAGACGTGTGCGTTGAGTGAGTGTCAATATTGGATCATGAGCTGTTTATTTAATTAATATATTTATATAGTGTCACTATGCAAGAGTAAGAGTGTTTCTATCTTCAGCGCGCACAAACCTCCAGGGTCCAAGAAGGGATGACGCAGAATCCAATCAACGACTCTGCTCAGTGCCCAGTTTGCAGGTAAAAATGGCAGGTTTTGCTAGCTGCTGGACACAGAACATGTCAATGTCAAGTACAAGAGTCAAATCAAGCATTCAATTGAATAGAATGTCTGATGTTTATTTAATTTAAGATTTACTTCTATATACTTGTAAGTTCTGAGCCTTCCATGTGGCATTCAATCACAATCAGAAATCATTGTGGCAATCCTGCTACGTGCGTTGTGACATTGTGTCAATACGTAATTATTGAGTGGTTCCAATGGTTTTAGTTTGGCAGCCCCCACAGAAATGCAGCAAGTCCCAGAGTCGATCATCTGTCTAGACTCTTAACTTAAGTTAAAATGAAGGAGACCATGGACAACACAAGACTAGATGCTAGGTCGTGGCAGTCTTAGTTTAGTTTTCGTCAGTTGTTATTCGTCATTTAGGGTCACCGAAAACACGACCCAAATTTTCATAGCAGCCAAAAGAAACTGACCCAGGTTGCAAAGCAGTGAACTCTGAAGCCATAGCGTCAAATTCATCCCCAACGCCTGAGGACAAAGTGATAACCTTTCAGGTTTTCTGGTGTTCCTGAAAGGTTTTGTTTCAGTCGGCCATTGCTGTGCCAGGCAGATGTGGTCGTCCCAGCCGATGCTCTGCGTCAACGAGGACTTGCTCTGCCATGTTTGATGGAAGTGTGGGGTTGCAAGGGTCCTGTTGATTCGATGATAAACACTTAAATAGTTGCAGAGTTAAGTGGACATCGTCTAAGGCATGTGCATAATATGTTGTGATTTTCTGAATAATTTATTCAAGCAAATGTCACGTTTGACAAGAATAAGATGTAACAGGGAACTCCATTCAATCCATGCGACCTTTCCGAAACAGCCCCCAAAGTCACCAGATTCAGTTTAATAAGCCTTCAGCTTTCAAGTAATTCATTTCGTAAGTAGGGTCATTGAACTGGCAGGCCTTCAATTGGGGATGTAGAGTTTCCAAGAACGAAATACAGTATCTCAAGTTGAGAGTCAAGTGCCATAGCTCAGATAGCACAGAATCGGGCAAACCTGCACAACCGCTTACAGTTACAGCATAGCACGCCTTTCAGCTGTTGATTCCGCTAAGCAAGTATGATCATTCTCATCCGCTAGAGCTGGGCTCAAAACTCAGAAGCAGTGTCATACCTGTGCAGCCAACTCTTTGTGGATCCTCAGAAAAGCCATGGCAGAGTCAGGGTCAGAGGCAAAGCGAACCCCCAGTGTCAAAAGGCGGTTGATCTTGGAAGTCACAAAATCGCGGTACCCGGGCTACAGCGCCAAGGTAGAGTCACTCAGAGCCGTGAACTTGTGCCCAGAGTCAAGCCCTCCAACGACACCAACGCTGGAAGGGTCAAAGCGCACCTGGGAGAAGAAGATGTACGACTGGAAGTGTCAGCTCAGGATCTGGGATGCATTCTATGCTGAGAACGAGTCAGAGCTGCACAAAAGGAGTGTCACTGCAAAATCCCTTTGGGACCGCAATTTTTTCTGTTTCAAGTCCCAGCTCAGCGCCAAGGGAGGTGCCTAGGCCTAAGCAGCGTCAAGGCTGCTATGTCACCAGGAACTGCAAACCAGGAGTGTCAATGCTGTGGTAGAGTAGAGTTAGAGTAAGCGTCAGAGTCCATGACAAGCAGGCAATTAGTAACATGACTTTGGCTATCCCGTTTGCAAATTCATGCAGAGTCAGAGGCCTTGCTCTTGTGCGAATGCGCGCAACAGCTTCATGGCCGTTTTGGATTCGGTGTCGGGGTCAGAGACACCGAGATCTGTTCGCTGCTCTGTGAAAAATCAGATATCTTGCCCAGTGTCTTGGTGTTGCCAATGCAAAACTGCTGCAGAAACACTGATGCAGGCTAACCCAGCGTTGGCCCCTGATCGAAGAGTTACATTGCTGACTAAACCTGACATCCATCCCTGGAATTGGCTAGAACTTAAATTGGCTTGTGCAGGATGTGCTGCCTTCGATTCCTTCCTCAAAGCGTCAACGAGGCTGGCTAGCACTGACTGTGCAGAGCTGACACAAGGGTAAGTTTGATAAACTTGTTCAAGTGTCAGTGAGCAGGCCCAGTGTGCACACAGTGACACAACATCATTGGAGAGTTGATCCTTTCGTTCAGGCGTACAGTGTCAGTGTTTTGTGCTATTGAGTGTCATGCGCATGCGTTATGATTTGTCACACTCTCGACTCAAGCAGCAGTCAGTCACAGTCCAGTGTCAGTTGCCGCCCTATTTCCTTGCTGCAGACTTCAATCAAGAGTCATGCCGCCCAAAGCTAACAAGAAGCAGCAGAAGTCGAAGGGTCACGTCGACAAGAAGTTGAAGGAGAAGGCCGCCC